AAGAATGTCTTTTCTATTGATTTTCCAGAAAGTCATTTGGGTGAAAATGCCTGTCAAATAATCGTCCTTTAAATGCTCTCTTGGGGGTGAAATTTTTCATATTCTCACCAAAGTGCCAATTAGAGTTATAAAAGGAATTCTCAGTGGAATTCGATGATATCTTGCATGATAATTCCTTCCTCTTCATTTACTTCCATCAATTTGTGAGGCGAAAAAACGGGTGAATTCAATATCAGAATGTCTTGATTATTTACACTCCAAATCACAATCGAAATGTTGTGTGTGAGTTTGAGATAAGGCAAGTATTTTGAGTTTTTTTTTCGAGTTGGAAAAAATGCTGCAACTTGAGAGATAATTTGAGGCGGACGCAAAGGGGAACTTAATCTAGACATGTACAAGATAAATCGGTTAACAAACAGAGCTCTGAAGCTCACAATTGTATAAATACACCACGCATTTTCGAGGAAGACATAAATTAAGAAGCTATGACACTTCTCGAATTGGAGAAAATGAATTACCATCCGCGTATACAATTTTACACACTCTTCCAGAGGTGATTTGGCCAGAGAAATGTTTTCCACTCCAAGATAATGGAATTTCCGTGTGCTCTATTTTTTCTTCGTGCGCTTGTTTGTCAATTGACGTGGTGAAGAAGGTTGACGAAAGAGTGATTTTTGATAAGCCCAAAGCGAAAGGGATTAAATCGTGTCTCCCTAATCACGTCCAATTACTTAATTTGCTCGACGTCATGTAATCCACATTTTCGATCAATTTGGTCTCAAATTATTTTGCGTGATCTCGAGAGTAATTTGAGGATTAACCGATGGGACGTGAAGATTTAATTTCCCGGGGCAGAGAAGTTAATTTGACGGACATTTCGAGAGCAACTGATTGGCGAGTTTATTGAATATTTCCTCATCATCCCGAAAAGTGCGAAAAAAGTCATACTCTCGAAACCACTTTATATCACTTGGAGGCGAATAACATGCTGATATGTAAAATTGGACACAATTGAGTTAAGAGCGAAAAACATTTATGCTCTGAAACACTTTCCAAGTACCTTTTTTCACCCACATTTCCACCGCCCATCAATTGTTTCCAATAAAAATCATTCCATCGCCGCTCGTCGTCTCAAATTGCTTCCACTTGAAATCAATCAAAAGAGCTTCATTTCCCTCTTGCAGACTTTTTGCAATTGTTGTTTCCACCACTCAATTTCTGGGGTTGAAACCCCACAGACAAAAATGTATTGCGCCATTGTGTGGCTCATGCAGAGGACAAATTTTTCCATCCAAATGTTGCCATTTGCCCATGAAAGGCGGCAGTAAGAGAAATCGTTTTCCCACCACGTTTGGATTTATTTGGAAATGTGAAAATCCCTTCCCTGCAATTGATTTCCCGAGTGAGTGTGTGTTCAAGGGATTCAGCCCAAGGGAAAGATAATACGACCAGAGGGCTGAGTCTTGAAATTCGTCAAAATCAGAATCAGTAGAAATTGACTGATTTTGAGAAATTTGCGAGTCTTGAGTAAAAATCAGTCTGAAACCGAGTCAAAATTGGCTCAAAATCAATCAACTCGTGTTGACATGAGAACATCGAGTCAACACGATTGCTCAATGTCTCAATTTTAAGATTTTACTTCAATTAGAGTATCAAATGGCCATCGATGGCATCGGAAATGGATAATAGAATAATTATTCTAATTGTTTTTAATTTTATATTGATAATTTTCCTTATTATTGCTGAGATATAAGCATCTCTTTTCTTGCGCTCGCGTAAGAGGCTCAGAGACGGAAAATAATTTCTTTCCATGCGCGCTGAGTCCCTGAGAGTCCCTCTTTGCAGTGTCGAGGCAACGATAATCCAAATTTTATTATGTCATACATAATCCTTGCCATAAACATTTTCAGTTTTGAAGGTATCTTTAATTGAATGGAATTCCCAAATTCTTCGCCCTTTGCTTAGTGCTTAAGTGTCATGAATTATTAATCAATGAACTGAACTTGTGAACATATAAGACAAATCCAAGTGTAATCAGAAGATGAACAATTGGTTCAACAAAAAAAATGGATGGAGAAATTTTTGCAAAGGGGAGGAAGTCGATCCCCATCTCGTGGGGCACCTCAAGATCACTCGCAGAAGTCTCATTCTGCTCCTGAGACTTCTCGTATAACCGCAGGAGAACATCTGTACGTTAATAATGCACATTATTCACATATTTGTCGCCCAAGGGTTAATTTTTAGCCTTCTTAAGGCGTGGGCAGACACCCCAGGATAATTCCTTGGGGTAAAAGTTAAGTTTGAGGAGCATTTTTATCATTTTCTGCCTCAAACACCGCAACTTGGCTCAAATCAAAACAACAAAATGACGTTTCTGCCTGCGTTCCGAAAGCATTTCCCCTCCCGAAAAATTCCGAAGACTGATTTTGACTCAAGACTCAAGAAACTTTCAAAATTGTGATCATGTCAACAAGTTAAAAATCGATGAGGTTCTGTTGATTCTGATTTTGACCATTTTCAAGACTCAGCCCTCAGAATTATGTACAAAATTTTCAGTTGCTTGATGAAAAAAATTATATATTTTAAAGGCATCTTTTTAGAATCTCTTCAAAAATATCTCAAAATCGTTGATTTTCCGTTGAAAATGGAGCAAATTGTTCTTTTAAAATACCCAATTTTAATGTTCAAATAATATTTTGAGGCTATGTTTGACTTTAGCATTAACTAAATTGACTTTATGTGTTCGAAATAGTATTTCTGTGATCTTTCAGCACTATTAATAGAGTTAAAATGTCCAGAAACACAAAATTTGATAGATTAAGATGTGATTCACTTGCTAAGATCTCTTAAATTGCTTACATAACCTAGAAATATTTTGTGAATATTGTGTTTTTTTTCATTTCTATCGCTATTTCGGCGAGCTGTACACTACTTTCAATCAGAATATGTGTCCCTTGATTCAGACCATTGAAAGCCTTCACCCTCATAAAATGTATCATAAATTGTATTCACAGGCAGTTTCTTATCTCGAATCAACTGCTAAAATTGTATTTTCCATCATATTGCAATAAGTATGAAAATTATTGGTCAATTCTATATGGCGAAAGTGTTCAATTCCCTCATGCTGACTCTCCTTTTGTCACCGTGAAATTGTTCTATTGTATCCCTTTTCCGGCTTCGCAGTGTGATTCCTTCATCTTCTCCATCCCATGGCTTCAGAGATTGTTTCTTCCACATCGACGAACCCACACTGCCTCCATCTTGCTGCGCGATCTCCCGGGAGAAGCTAAGCTACGAGAGTATCGAAGACAAGAATCCCGCCATTGAGCTCGAGTGGATGCTTTGGTCGCACTCAAGCCACTCGAGATCGTTTACCATGGAATTCAGCGCCTTCGGAGAGTGAGAAATCTGAAGTTCTCTCCAAGCCACATTTTTCTCCACACAGAGAGAAAGAGTGATTAATTGCAGCGGGAAAATTTATTTCCTTAATTAACATCATCGGGGAGTTGGGGAATTTTTCTCCACTTCGCAATTACAGCCGCACAATGCAGAAGATAATTTAGTGCCTCGCGGTGAAATTATTTCCATATTTTGCATAAATTATGCTGCACAAACGCTAATATATAGTCAAAGAGTTTTTGGCGCACCTTTAATACCAAAACATTTTTGGCACAATTATATTTCACTCAATGAGATTGTTTGGCCAGTGTTTATTTGGCAGAAAACTAGCGTAATTTGTGGAAATTTGCATAACTGGATTTTGGAATGTCACGTTGTCAATATGTGATATGATAATCCTGTTAGTTAGTGTTTGTTTAAATTGGTTGATTGATTGGCAGAAGGATGAATAATAATTGGTAGCAGAATGCAGGTTAATTAGGTTCTTGTACTATGTAATCAGTGGATAATTGGCAAATTCAATTCGATTTTCTCGAACCACAGAATATTGTAGGAAAACCCGGAAAATACAAGCGGAAAATATGTTTCAGACTTGCTAAACATCTGCAAGAATCGATTAAAGAGCAGAAAGAGACCAGAAGAAATAGAGCGAATCTAAAGATGGAGAAAAGAGAGTCCTTGTAAACCAATTCAAGTCATTTTCAACATCCCGAGATTTTCAGCATTTGAACATTTTCCCTTTTCATGAAGTAATAATCATGATAATTCATAATATAAGGACTAATTAGTCCTAATTGGTTCACATCAGTCCTATTTTTCTTCTAAAATTGTGTTTAAAAAGGAAATTTCAAGCATTTTGTGTCCTATTTTCCCCAAAATTGTGTAAAAACTTAGTTAAACATTGTCGATAAGTCAATTGTCGATAACTTTAATGGAGAAAGAAGAAGCAGACACTAAGATTGCTGTCTTTAGTGTGTTTCATCCAAGCATACTTGGTAAGTATTTCTTTTTATTAAATTCCCGTCTCACTACAATGTTGAATCTAAGAAGAGCGACTGCCTGATGGATGTTTGAGAAGCTCTGGCCAATGGGAGTCTGAGGAAGACGCCTATAGATCTGCGGAGGCAGCGAGCGAAACAGGTAGACGAAGAATTCCTCATGATCGCGCCGCAGAGCGAGTGATTGTGTTGGTTTGGGTTTGTTGTCAGTTCTTGGAGTCGCTCAGGTGCTCTCGAGTGTTTTGCCGCCGTGCAATTTTCCACGCTGATGTTTAGATGGACAGAGTGGGTGGAAAATTGTGCAAATAGTGTGAAGTGCCCTTGAATCCCTTCAATGTCGTGCGGATGAGTTGAAAATTCTGCCCAAATTTCGAGTGGAAATAGATGGAATTTGTGAGTGTCATCCACTTCTTGACGAGTGCTTTGCTTCGTATTCGTGCCTGGGCTTTTGTGTACCTGAGTGTGTGTGTTTCTGGCGTTTTATGACTATTTTATTGTCCCACACAAGCTCACAACACACTCTGGAGAGTGTGTGTTATTTTGATTTTCTGCTCGCGCCATTCACAAAACGCCTCGAAGCGAATTTCCCGGCCAGCCGGAAGAATGGGTTCCCGCGCCCCGAACTCCAACAGCTTCTTGCTGGGCGACAAGGCTCTGGCCGGCCTGCCGCAGCTCCTGGACGACCTGCAGCGCCTGTCCGAGGATCAGGACAGCGCCGACGTGGTCTTCCTCGTGGGACGAGACGAGGAGAGAGTCTATGCGCACAGGATCATCATGATGGCCAGGTGAGAATCCACATTCGAGGAAGAGCAGAAGATTTTCCCATAGAAAGACGGACAAATAGGCAGGAATTAGGCATAATTCGTCCTCTAACTCTGCTTAATATCATTGATAATTTCTCAGAAGACTTTTCCTGATCTTGAAGTCAAAAGCAAGGCTGTACTTGAGGTCTTGCGGAGAGGCGATTGCCTTCCTCTTGCAAGACAGATATTCGGAGCTGAAATGTGCACTTTTCCGCCCTGTTCTGGAGAGCCAAAGACAGCATGGGAAAATCCATTTTCATGAGATTTGCATGCGGTTTATCTTGTGTGAGGTGGAGGAAAATTGCAAATCGCCCACGAAATGGAAAAATGTTCCTTTGTCGAGAGGGCAAAAGCATTGAGAGAAGTTTCGAACATGAGACACATTTCATATCTTCAGCATCATGAATTGTACTTAAAATATTCATGAAATATTCAACTTATTTCATTCCGCATCGCATTCATCCGTCTGTCGGGGCTGCAGTGAAAGAGATTGAATTCTTCATTCTATTCTTCGCGACTCTTCGAGGAGGATGAAAAGCCAAAGAATTGATCCACATGTCACTCATCGTTAAGCACATTCAGGGATTTTCCATGAAAGAATCGCAAGCAGGATGTTATATTAAATATTTTTTCGCCATCCCGGGGATTTTCTCCTGGCGAATGTCGCATTGTTGGCGAAGGATTCCTCTAGAAACACCCGGAAATTGGAATATTTCACTCAATTCCCCTTCAATATGTGTGAGATACGATTTTCCACCCACTCGCAATGCCACAGGATGAATTCGGGAAATCAAATGCGATGTAATTGCGCCTCTTCAGAAACGCGGTGGAGCTTCAATTTGAATTTAGTGCTGTTCTATTGATCAATCAATTAACTGTACCAACTCAAAATTTGGCCTTCGACCATGTCTTTCCCTTCGCCAATCTAAGCTCTGTGTGCGCCGATTCCCACGCCAGAGTTGAAGAGATTCTGAATGGAAGATTACAATTGAACTATGAAGTTTAATTTTATTGGGGAGGAATTGATATTTATAGCATTTTTAAATGTTTTACACTTAATGGAAAACAATAAAAGTTATATCAAGCTTTAAAATTTAGTAAAATTAACAAACATTTGTTAAAAATGTGAGTTTCTTAACAAATTCCTTTAAGCTTGTTCGAATAAGACACTTTCAATCTTCAAACATCACCAAAATCATTTCTTATCTTTGATCTACAGCAATTCACTCTCAACTCCTTCCATTGCACATGTTGAAAATGATATTTGCTCTCCATCTTCTGAGCGGCTTAATTGAATGCTCGCCAAAGTTGTCTATTTGAGTAGAATTTTCCACTTTTATCCTCTCAATGGAACTACTTCAATTGTCCAATTCCGATTTTCAATCTTTTTCTCCCACTTGAGGCTGAAAAATAAACTCTTCTCGCTGTGCTTAAATATTTGACGATCTCTGTGCTCTATTTTGCAGGTGTAAAAGCTTCCAGACGCTGAAAAGGGGGGAAATCTGCCGCATTCCCGGATGCAGCGTCTTGCCAGCTGCTCCAGGAACGCCGATTCCCATTCGATTGCCACACTTGAGCGCCGACGTCTTTCGCCAGTTCATCCTCTACGTCTACACGGGCAAGGTGACTCCCCAGATGCACGGCTTAATGAATTTTGCACTGAATTTCGTCTGCTTCAGATTCTCCTGCAAGATTCCATCTTCGAGATGATGTCAATGGCTAAAGATTTGGGCGTCGATGAGCTGCGAACGGCGTGCGAAGATCACGTCGTGTCGACGCTTTCAGTGGCCAACGCGTGCACCTTCCTCATCGCCGTCATGGACATTCAAGAGAAAACAACAGGTATTATGACAATAATCAAATGCAAATTCAAGTCAGTCTTATTCGGCACGTTGAATTTGAAAGCAAAGTGTGTCTCTGCTAGAGTGTGTCTGCGATGAAATGTCGTCGATTAATCGCTCACGCGCGCAAAATATCGTGACGCCAGTCGAACGTTTATTCGGCGAGAAAACATAAACAAGCCGCTTGTGTTGCAAGTTCATCTGTGAATTTCCCGTGAAAAACCCGCCCGAAATGTCGTTCAAAGGCAACGCGAAGGTGCAGAAGGTGATGGTGCAGCCCATCAACCTCATCTTCCGCTATCTGCAGAACCGGTCGCGCGTGCAGGTGTGGCTGTTCGAGAACGTCAACACCCGGCTCGAGGGGCACATCGTGGGCTTCGACGAGTACATGAACCTGGTGCTGGATGACGCCGAGGAGGTGAACATCAAGACGAAGAGCCGCCGCCAGCTGGGCAGGATAATGCTCAAGGGCGACAACATCACGCTCATCCAGAACGTGAATCCCGGCTCGGGGATGCAAATGTGAGGTTAAGGCGTCCGGGAGGAGACATCGGAGGATTTGGCGCGTTCCAGGGAGGGCTTTTCGAATAAAGTGTATTATTTAACCCGGCCTTTTCACTGGATTCCGCGAGGGGAGCGCGCGACCGAATGTCCGGAAGGCAGTTCTGATGGTCTTCTTGTGTTTTGCAGGCGCCAAGTGCACAGCCTTCATGGAGAGATGCGTGAGCTACATCGGAGAGAATGCCGCGGAGTGCGTGAAGACGAATGCCTTCCTCAATCTGACCAAGGAGGGCCTGATTAAGCTCATCTCGTCGGACTACGTGAGTGCGAATGGGGCTTCCGGAGGAGCAGAGACTGTCTAACATTTGATTTCCCGCAGTTCTGCCTGGAGGAGGAGGACGTGTGGCGCTGCGTGCTGGCCTGGGCGAAGAACCAGGCCGGCGTGACGCAGCCCACGGCACACTGGACGGAGGAGGAGCGCGTGCGTGTGTGCCAGCATCTCTCGGGCGTCATCAGCCACGTGCGCCTGCTGCAGATCGACAGCAAGGTGTTCGCGGAGGAAGTGGAGCCCACGGGCGCCGTGCCGATGGAGCTGTCGCTCGAGCGCTATCGCTTCGCCGCGCTGAGCGCCCCCGTCGCCCTGCCGACGCCCGGCGACACGGACAAGCGCCTGCAGCCGCGCCTGCTGCTCAATCTCTTCCCCGGCTCGGCGATCCTCAAGAGCGACAAGCTCCATCTGCAGAGCGTGCTCAACGGCTGGTTCGGCGGCCCCAAGCAGATGTGGAAGCTGGCCTTCAGGGCATCCGAGCACGCCTTCTCCGCCGTGTCCTTCCATCGCTACTGCGATGGCGTGGCGCCCACGATGGTGATCGCGCTGGGCGCGCGCGGAGAGATCTCCGGCGGCTTCAGCGACGTGCCGTGGGCGAAGAACAGCCGCAAGGGCGGCTACATCCACTCCGAGAAGGCCTTCCTCTTCGCCCTGGCCGGCGGCCCCGAGCCGCCGCTCAAGTTCGGCATCGTGAAGAAGCCCTACGCCATCTGCTACCATCCGGAGTGAGTGATCCCGAGAAGAGTGTCTCTTCCAGTCCACACACTGACTATTTCCTTGCAGCTGCGGCCCTATTTTCGGTGCCGGCGCTGATCTGCTCATCTCCAACTCGTGCAGCTCCAACATGGATTCCTACTCGAATCTCCCGCACTCCTACGACGGCCCCGGCGCCAGCTGCTCCAGCATGTTCGGCGACTACAACTTCACGATTGTAGATTACGAGGTCTACACAACAGCTTCGCCGGCGGAGGCGGCGCGCGGTGGCGCCAAAGGTGAGCGATTCTGAAGGTGAGTTTTGCCTACCTGTCGGCGTTTTCTCTCTGGCATTTCGAAATAAACGATTCTCAGCCTCCTGATCTTGATGAAATGCAAAATTGCCGCGGCGTTTGTGCAGAATCATCTTCTCATGCGCGGCGTGAGAGTGCAGGAGAGATGCTGCCCAATAATTATGTGGCAGGAATTGTAGCGAGAAAAATGGCCGTGGAATTGATCTCGCGAGATTTATGAGGTGAAGACAAGTGCCTCTTTGATCGATGGACAAGGAGAGCTTCTGGAAGTGATTGTTAAATGCAATGATGGAGCAGTGCAGCGCGAAATGAGGCTGCAGATGGAGATCCTCAACGGCTGAGAAGAACCATTGAAGACTCGCGATCTCGCGCTGCGATCATCGTCTCTAAATCATACTTTTGGGAGTGACATTTTTTATGGATGTGTTCCGCCCAAAAATCCCTCCCGCACTGCGCCAAGTGAGAGAATCTCTTTCTCCGCGACATATATTTGTCCACAAAGTGCTAAAATATGGGTGGGATTAAGTTTCCGGAATTTTTATTCGCACGAAGCGCGCCTGAAGAGATCTTGATCAATAATTTCGTGAACAACGGGATGATCTTCGATTTCACCCAATGAAATTTTATGCTAATTTATTGGGAAAATCGATCGAGATTTATCAGATTTTTTTTTCTTCTGCCTCAAATCTCACTCAATCGATCTTTTGGGGGGGGTTTTCGTGTGGCTTGAAAAAGGGCACATTTGAGTGTTTTTTACAGTTTGATCGAGAGCTGAAAGTGTGAGAAAGACTACAGATTGGGATTAGCATGAAATTTTTCACCTTTTTGATACATATCTTAATATGAAAGATGCCTTTTCTTTCGGCTTTCTTTCCAATCTAGATAGAATCTGATTCTCGAACTGGATATTTTGACAAAAATCACAATTTTATATTAGAGGAAAAGTTGGCGCCACTTTTGACAACTAGAATCTGACAATCCAGAATTCATAGTGTGCTGAGTTCCTTAGACGCTATTTATCTTGCTGTGGTCAAAGTGACCAAACCTTACATTCGAGATGAATAATTTTCATGAATTTGTCTTCGTCCAGTGTTTCCATGTCCTAGGAAATGTTCTCAATGTTCTTAAGAAGCTTCATACAGCTGAAGAATCTGATTAAACTCCAAACTGGACAATCTTCTCTGGATCTTTCAAGGATTAATTAACGAATTTAAAGGTCTGTGAAATGTGATTTCCGACACAATTTCCCCAATCGGAGTGTTGCAACGCGCAGAAACATTGCTTGAAGACTTCCTTTCCCGCCCCGCGAACGGTGTAGAGTTACATTGTGACTTACAAGAGCTTCTGCAGCAGTGAAATCAATAAAATCAACGAGAGCGCATCCGCAAGTGCATCGAAGACGATGCGCGAGAAATAAATTTAACGAGGCTAATTCCTAGCATTCGCGAAATTACGACTATTGTTGACTATTGAAGGCGGACAATTAAATAAATAAAGCGCTGCTGGAGATCAATTTCCAGGGGGGGAAAAGTCCTCCAACTTCTTCTTCTCCTTCGCGTGACTTTATCGCAAGACGTCCAGTTGGTGGTGATAGAGAAGTAAATACACTTATTTATGACAACCTTCGCAATTATTTTTGCGAAATTTCATTAACGCCGCCTCAAATTGGATTCCTTTTTCTCGCGGATTCCTCGCGGCTCTGCCAAATGTGAAATGTGGCCAAAATTGAGAGATTAATCTTCGGACGACTCTCACTTCGTCTCACAATTAATTGACCATTAATTCATTTGGGTGGAGAATTTGTCGAGAGAGAGAAAGAAAGAAAAGAAGAAGAAGAGGTCAAAGAAATTGAAGAATGTCACCGCGAAATATCATCAACAGACTACCAAAATATCACTTTAAGCACCGCAACTAAACTCTTTCCCCTTTCCCAGCGCTGGGAGACTTTCTATATAAACAGGTGGAGAAGTTATGGAAATGAAGATAAAATCCTCTTCCGGATCGCACAAATGTGCGCGCGCAGGCGAAAAAAAAGAAAGAAAATCTCCTGCAAAATTCACGCGATTGAACTCTTGATGGACTTTGGAGAGCTGCGATGACAAGGAATCGTAAACAAAAATTTATCTATATTGTCAAGTGTTTATCACATACTTTGGGCTCTTTTCCGTTTCTGCGTATAAATTTCCCGCTCGCATGCAAATGATGCGTAAAATGGGCGGGAATTTTATGTGATTTTAATGGAGCATCTTACGCGCTGTCTGTGCGATATTGACAAGGCGGTTTGGTGGAAGAAAATGCGGAGAAAGAGATACTGTTACACGCAATCATTGAGGAATTTAACACCTCCGAAACGGTGAGATTATTGTATTTCTGTGCGCTCGTCGCTATCAAAAGATGCGTCTTTTGGCCCATTGTTGCCGATGCGCCTAATTGGATCTAATGCCCTTTGCCAATGATCCTCTTATCACCTCCACATTCTAACACACACATTCCAGCCTCAGTTTCTGATGGGTGAAAAATCGCTCTTGTTTGAGAACTCAATTCACACACAAATTTTCAGCGCGCGCGCGCGCCTCATTTTTTCTCCCAGGGAATTTCCAATAAATCTCATCGATTGACCAAACTCTTCGTGTTATCTTCCACCAGCTCTCCTTTTTTTTTGGTCCACGCCATGTTCAGCCTCACTGTGTGTGATTTATACGATTTACCATGCATTTTCATGCTAATTTAATTAAAATCTTCTAAGGTGATTTAGAGTCATCATGTTTGGGACAATTTATGCTCAACGAGACGCACAATCGTGCTCTTTCTCTGTGTGATACGATAAAAGATAAATTTCCCCCCTGAATTCCTCAATGGATTGTCGCCAGAGATTCAATCCAAGGGGAAGATAATTGCCTTCTGTACACCACTTGCGAACACTTGAAGCACTTGACATTCAAATCAGAAGAAATTTATCAGGTTTGCATTCGATATTTCCTTAAAAATTCCATTAAAACAGCTTATTGGTATCTTTTTTGACCATAACCTTAAAATATCACTAAGAAATCTTTAAAGATTCTGTTTAGAATTTTTCTAGATAACAAAATCATGTGTTTTAATTTGCTAATGAACTCAAAATTGCTGATTCAGAGCCAAAATCGTCCAGAAAGTTATCCAAATAAGCAGTTTCCAAGTATAAATAAATATTTTTGAGGTTATGTTCAATCTTAACGCATTTTGCAGTGTTTCATGACATCAAAGATTCAGAATAACAGTGTTTATTGCATACAAACGTTAAATTCTGCCAATGATTAGCGATCTCTAAGACTTGAGCATAAGAATTGATGTGCTAAAATGCAAATTATTCACTGAATCTGTTTCTGATTCGTTTTAAAACCTAGAAAATTATTGCAATCCTAAGAATTGGGATGATTTGGCAGCAAAAGAAGCACTGAGGGAAGAACTATTGTGAATTTTTGAACGTTTTGAACACTTCCACTTTTCAAGACTTCTGCTATACACCACTTTTGACCATATTATCTTCCCCTTGATTCAACCAAATCAACCGAAAGTATCTCAACGGTGAGATAATCTTGTGACAGAAGAACGATATCTTCCAGAAGGCATGGAATGAGAAGACGATGAGTGAATTTCAGATCGCTCTCGCACTTAATTGCGATGGATAAGAATCATGTTGGATGAAAATGTGGACAGAGATTGAAATCGGTGAAATTAAGAAAGCGACAGATGAAAAATAATGCAAAACTAAGCGAAATTGGACAAGAATTTCGAGTGAATGCAAAAATTCATATGTAATTCAGCACCGCGCGAGTGAATTCTAATTTGCCCACCCATTTTGCGAACATTAACTTCTTGATGGCCCATTAAAATCGACTTTATGGGCGATTTTTGTCAATTGGACGAAAATATACACACACAGAAGAAGTTCAACGTTCGTTAAATTTGTAAATTTTGTACTAATTTTCCGACGGTGAAAAATCACGCGCAAGAGACATAAAGTGAAATATTTCCATCATCAGCGGAGGATGATCAATTTTCATGCTCTCGATAATTTACTACGTGTCGCGGTGGTCGAATAAAACGACACGCTGTAAATCACGAAACGCCCATAAAATGAGCCCTCATTGGGGCAAAGTGACTTGAGCATTGATGTTTTTTTCGGCCATTTCCCGCGGACGGCGCGGATTTCCCGCGTCGAGCAAAGAAGTGAGAGAAGGAAAGAGGTGAGAAAGAGGAGGAAAAAAACAAGTGCCCATGCGAGATGAGCGTGTATTTGAATATCTCTTAAACGCTTTATTAGATGACATTTATCATTCGCCGTGTGGACTGTTGTTGATGATTACATTAGACATATTGGGGAATTAGCATGAGTAATCACCATTTTCAAGGCACTCACTCGCACTGAGAAGGAGTCAATTTGGGCGGCAGAGGCAGACTCAAATTCGCGCCGCGTGCGATCACAAGAGCCCCACGGAATCCGTCGCTGGACCATCGCCGTATCGATTGAATAACGATTGATTGTTTATCATTTTCGTCTCTTTTTCTTTGTGCCTCTCTTTTTTGTCCCCTCATTCACCATCGCGCGCCTCTTCTCGGCTGCGGGCGCCACAGAAATAGTGTCTTGCATCAACAGACGATTACGATAGTGGCCAGAGAGGCAGACGCTTTTGGGACGTCAGAAAGATTCCGTCGATTGATCTTCCAGAGCAGGCAATTTATTTTACTGTCGTCAGGACTGAAGAAGACCAGAAAGGGGACATAAACTGGATATAGAATTGAATGTAGAGTTGAAGAAAGAAACACTTTCTTAATTATCATCCCCATTCAGCTTTGATATCTTGTCAAATTTCATAATTAAATGTTATATTCATTACGGGAAAAGCCAAAATCGCAATTTTTCAGCAGAGCAAGTTCAAAATTTAGCGTTAATACAGCTACGAAATTTGCCAAATTTACTTAAAAATCCTCAAAACACCTTCAAATCGTCCGATAAAAAGCAAATATTGCTCTGCATTTATTATTTTGTAAATGTTTTAATTAGAAATATTCATTCAAAGTCTAAAAAACATTTTAAAATAATTCTGAAAAGATTTTTTACTATTGTCTCATAAGATACAAACAAGGATACAAACAAAGAAGAACAAATAAAAAGCTTTGATTCACCCGTCGAATTTCTTTAATCGTCATGACATTTCAGATCTTCTAACATTGTTTTTC